ATTCTAAAGGAAATCAACCCTGAGTGCTCACTGGAAGGACAGATCCTGAAGCTGAGGCTCCAGTACACTGGCCATCTCATGAGAAAAGACTCCTTGGAAAAGACCTTGATGTTGGAAAAGTGTGAAGGCAAGAGGAGAAGGGGACGACAGAGGATGAGATGGTTGGACAGTGTCTTCAAAGCGACCAACATGAATTTGACACAACTACGGGAGGCAGTGGAAGGCAGGAGGGCCTGGTGTGCTCTGGTCCATGGGGTCATGAAGAGTCGAACACGACTAAACGACTAGACTACGACGACCAGAGCAGATGGCGTTAAAAGGGAAAATTATTAGTGATCAGGCTGTAAGTGGTTACTAATAATGGTGACAGTATATCACCTTGAGTATCACAAGCAGGATCAGTTTCTGGTGAGCGTGCATGCGAAGGTGCTCTTGTTCTCGTGCCATCTGCGACATTCCACTCTGCATCTGTTCGGCCACTGTGAAAACATAATGCTTGCCTAGAGAAAGGCTTTGCCTTGAAAAGGGCTTTGCTTATGTTTTTGTATTCATATTGTACAGGGGACAGGATTTCAGTCCAGAAACTTTACAGATGTGACATTTGTGATTACACGAGCACAACGTATGTTGGTGTGCGGAATCATAGGCGGATTCACAACTCCGATAAGCCATACAGGTACGTTGGTATATTCTATTATTGGGATACAAGAAGCTGCTGCTGCTTCATTTTTCTCTCTTTGAAAGGTCTTATTTTGGTTGTTAATTCTATAGAAAGCTGCAGACAATTTGAAACAACTTGTTCCTGAATGTGTATTATTTTTAGAGAAATACATCATTTATCACTGATTCACTGACAGCATATTTAGAATCCACCAGTCTTATGCATGTCATTCCATAAACGTCTGCTGTTATAGATACTGGAGTGTTTTGAGCTGGAAAAGATACCTGATGTAGAGAAGTTAGTTTGTTAATTACTCTTTTTCTTTTCTTTATTAAACCCAACTCTTTATTGATGCAGTTGCAAGGTTACCACTTAGATGAATTACTAAGTTTACCTCCTTAGGTGAATTTTCCTATAATATCTCACAGTTGGCCAGGCTGATTAGCGCTTGAGCTGTAAAGAATACTTGGCAAATACTTAATTCTTCTTGATGACTTCTCAAATTGACAGGATCCCTTTCGGAAGAATTTTCAGGTCTGGCAAAATTCCATGCTTCCATGCAAGAACAGGCCAAAGATCACTTTTTTTTCTCATTAAAGTCTCCATAGTGTGTGCAAAACTATTTCTGTGCAAAACTAACATCCTTTCCTTTGAGAAGCAATACACAAACATACAGCAAGCACAGAAGGATTGGCTGATTGTTTAAAAAGACACAGATAACTTTTTTCCATGTTTCTGATCCTTGAAAGTCAATGCAACAATGCAGCAGCCATTACTTTACACAATTTAAAGCAAAAAATATCCCCCCCCCTCCGAAACCCTACTTCCTCTTCTGGAGGCATCCAGAAGTAATTATTTTTGCATCAGGAGTTTGGGATGTCTCAGTACTATCTGTTTGCATCTTTCTAATGGCCAAATATGGCCACTTCCAGGCTCAGAATGGCCCACAGCAGAGATTGGGGACAAACTGACACACAGCCCAACCTCAAGGTTGCTCTCCTTCCCTTAGACTCTTCCTGAAGTAAGCAACCTGGCGGATCTCAACCTTGGGAGATCCGTCAGTTATGACAGTGTTACCTGGATAGCAATCAACTTTGATTCTGTCAGTAGAGCTTGTTTGTTTTATAGGGTTTGTTTGTTTGTTTATAGAGTTTGTTTGTTTTATAGGCCGTCTTTCTCCTGATAAGGGAACGCAAGGTGGCTCACAGTTATTGAAAAAACAGATTTTTTTTAAAAAAAACAAGGTAAACATTATCTTAAATAAAAAATAAGGTTTATAAGGTAAACATTGATTGGGTCCCCTTATCAGGAGAAAGGTTGCCTATGAATAAAATAACAATTAACCAAATAAATATGCTTCACAATGGAGAAAGGTTGCCTATGAATAAAATAACATTGATAGAATGCATTGATAGAATCCCGAAGTGAATTAGGAATGTATTCACGAAGGCTTTCATGGCCAGGATCCAATGGTGATAGGTTTTTCGGGCTCTTTGGCCGTGTTCTGAAGGTTGTTCTTCCTAACGTTTTGCCAGTCTCTGTGGCTGGCATCTTCAGAGGACAGGAGTAGCACCAATTAGGAATATCCAACATTTCTTGGATTCCCAATGTGGTGTAGTGAATAGAGTGACGGACTGGGACTCTGGAGACCAACCAGGCTCAAATCCCCACTTGGCCATGGAAACTTGATTGGAGGAGAGGAACTGGTAAAACCACTCCTTAAATATCTCGCTTACCTTGGAAGCCCTATTAGGGTTGCTATAAGTCATTCCGACTTAGTGGCACAGAACACACACAAATGTTTCTTAGCTGCTCCTACCCTGCCATTGTTCCTCATAAGAATTTGTATTGCAAGGGGTAAATCTGCTGAGAATCAGCCGCTTCTTTCTTATTCATCAGATGTCGAGTGTGCGACTTTGCCACAACTAATATGAACAGTTTGAAATGCCATATGAGGCGACACCCACAGGAACACCAGGCAGTGCAGCTGATGGAGCAGTTCAAGTAGGTACTTGCTAAGGAAAGCATGGCAAGGGCTGGAGCAGCAGCAGGAGGTCTTCTGTGAGCAATGCATTGACAATCAAGGCTCTTCAGATCTTGTGTCGATCTGTTCACAATTTGCTCAGATAAGGGGCTGTTTGTGACTTTCTGTTCTACCATTTCTAGTTTAGGAGGTCATATCATTTTTTTGTACCTCTCTGCCTGTATAATCTGATATTCTTGGGGCTAGTGGATAGCTGGGAGCCACAGCTGGCTGTTTAATAGACCTGAGAAATCTGTATTCACTAGCAGCTGAAAGAGGAAAAGTTGGGAGAAGAGCCTCGTGGCACAGTGGTTAAACTGCTGTCCTGCAGCCAAAACTGTGCTCATGACTCAGGGTTCAATCCCAGGCAGCCGGCTCAAGGTTGACTCAGCCTTCTATCCTTCCAGTGGTCGGTAAAATGAGTACCCAGCTTGCTGGAGGGGGGGCAATGTGTAGCCTGCATAATTAACTTGTAAACCACCCAGTGAGTGCTTGAAGCTTTGCTTTGCTTTTGCTGATTAGTATTTTCTTTTTATTGTTTGATAAATATTTTAACAAGTGTAAGCTACTATGGGCATAGAGAGTTGTCTTCTCTCAAAGTACATGGTGGACTATTTGTTAGTAAATATTTGTCCATCTAATCCAGAATGTTCTACTTTCTGATACCAGTGTTATAGAATCATAGAATAGTGAAGTTGGGAGGGGGCTATATGACCATCAAGTCCAACCCCCTACTCAATGCGGGAATACAAATCAAAGCAGATCTGCCAGGTGGTTGTCTAAGTTCCTCTTAAATGCCTCCAGTCTTGGAGCACTCAGAATAATGGTAAAGAATTATTTGATGTGTTTCACTAGTTACCATTTTTCCTTCCTCTCATTTTGTGTTCCAGATGTTCCCTTTGTGGATATGTGTGTAGCCATCCTCCTTCCCTAAAATCTCATATGTGGAAACATGCAAGTGATGAAAACTATAACTATGAACAAGTGAACAAAGCTATTAATGATGCAATTTCGCAAAGTGGCAGGTGTGTTAGAGTCATTATTTTACAATATATAGTTATAGCAGACTGTTTTCCTGTTGAGGGTTCTGAAAACTTCCACAAATCCTAAACTGAAAGTTTTTAATCCTCTAAGTTCAAAGAACAGATTGGTGTATAAATATATGGTACAGAAAATTGCTGGCCAGTAATAGGGCAGTGGGGAGGGAGAGTAATTGGGGGACGGACAACTCCCAGCCAACATAGTATATGGTGAGGGACAATGGAAGTTGTAGTCCAGTCAAATCTGGAGGGCCCACACATAGGTTGTCCAACCCTGTTGTAAATGCACTGGATTTCTCGGTTGTTCTTGCGTCAAACCTCTAAATATCTCTTTTAAATCAACCGTTATTTAAAGTCATTTTAAAAGTTTTTGGGGGATTTGTTGCATTTAGGATGTGGGAGGAAGGGGGTTGAAATGCTGTTGATAAAATGCAGAATATAACATGTACCTGTATTGACTCTGCATATCGTCTCTAAATCTTTGAGAACATTTTCACAGGAGGTTTAGCATCCAACCATTGCTAAGAAATAAAAGCAAACCACCTTCTTCCTTTCCTAGATTCCCAAGTCAGCTAGCTGGGAAGACAGTAACTGAAACTTCTGAAGACAGTTCCATTTCACTGACAGATAACTCGGAGGGGTTGACAGTTTCAGATTTTTCTAACCAAACTACAATCAAAACCATTAGTTCTGATGAAAATCAGAATCCTTCTGCTACAACAAATACCTCTTGCAATTCTGACAAAACTACTAGCCTGCCCCACCTTGGTACTGAATACTGTGTTCTGCTCTTCTGTTGCTGTATCTGTGGATTTGAATCTACCAACAAGGAGAATTTGTTGGATCATATGAAGGAGCATGAAGGTGAAATTATAAACATTATTCTAAACAAGGACCATAGTGCCCCTCAGAGTGTAAGCTAGATGAAGTTGCCTGTTTAAGATTCCTTTAAAGTGCTGTTTCCTTGGACTCTCTAACATTTCCTGGAATACTTGCTAAAGAACTGTGACTAAAAAGGAAAAAAAATGCAGCAGTGTTCCTAAGTTCTGAAGTCTTTGTGTCAACAAGAAAGCGGATTATTTCACAAGCGCTCAAAGCAACTGAACAGTAAATACTTCACTTATGGTAAAGGGCCACTGAAACTGTTATCCCCTGCTGACAGAGACATTTCCAATTCTTATTACTAATCCAGAGCATAGTCGTATAATAGGAAATTCACACTAAGGCGTTAACTTAAGGGGTTTAACCTTCCTGCCTTGTGACTATCTAAAGAGTCTCAAATTGGTTTCAGGTAAATTAAAAAAACAACAACCTCAACACAACTGATTTATGAAGCCGCAGTTTCCCAGGGAAAGAGAGAAAGGAAGACTGAACAACGTCTTAAGCCTTGTAGTTCCTAGCTGGATTGTTTCTTTTTCAGACTATAGAAGAATTCCTTCCTGTTCCGGGGATACACACAACATGAAACAAGTTGGTATCTTGCTAATTACTGTGTTTTCTAGATCTTAGTTTCAGTATACAATGCTACAGTAAGATGACCAGAATGTATGTATGCCCAAAAATGGACCCTTACGGTTCACCCAATTTTTTAAAATGCAATTAGCTATATGGTCAGCAGGCATTTATCCAGTGGTGTTTCATTTTGATTTGCTTGAAATGCCATAATTTGGAGGAGCAGCAAGGGAGAAGTACGGAAGAGGTAAACATTGAACCTGATTTCAAAGCAGAGGAAGGCTTCCCTCTCTAACATTTAACAATCCAGTCCCTTGGACTGCCTGAAGATCAGATGGAAATTCAACTGGTTGGATCCAGAATCTGTTTCTCACAAACAGAGTCTTCTTCCATCCATGGGACGCTCCTGGTCCAGTGGTCATTCTGGCAGAATGGAGAAAGGAAAAGTTTTATCAGCGTCCCTTCTTCACGGTCTCTGAAACCTTCTCTAGGGAAGGCAGAGTGTCCTTGCAGAACAGTGAAGAAGGCAGTGCAGGCAGCTGTAGGGTGAGAGGGACGTTTGGGGCAAATTGCTTTCTCTCTTCCTTGCTTCCTGAAGCAATCTGAGCAGAAATCTATTCGGGGGCGGTTTCTGTCAGTGGAAAACCACTCTAGATTCAACCAGCCACAGGTAACTTACTAGACAAGAGTCCACTAACGCTGAACCGTTAGTAATGTCAAGACAGCTACTAAGTTCACTAACAATACAGCTGTTAATTCTTTTCTACTAACTTTCCCACCTCTGGATGCAACCAGGTGGAAGTGACCACAAACAAGCTAGACTTCTTTTGACGTTCTTATGAACTGGCCACTACAGGTGTTGAATTGGCTTAATGTTTTAGCTCCCCAAAAGGGCTTCTTTCACATCTTGCTCAAAGCCTTGAGCTCTTTTCCTTTGGCTACAATTCTGGCACATGGTTTGGCAGCTTATCCTCTGTTTACCAAAGTGAACAGCTCACTTTCAGACATTTTCTTCATTATATGTCCTTCAGTTTGAACCCTCTCCCAGTTCAGAGGTGGGAAAGTTCATGCCATGTCCCTGCACGTCCTTTTACATAGTGTGGGCAGCGTATAATTTAAATAGATAAAAATAAATAATAATATTTCGTTGCTTACAAAATGATTGTACACAAATCTGAACTAGTGTTTCAAGGAGTGTAGGTTATATTTCTTGTGTATCTAATTTACAACCATAGGCTGCAATAAATAAGCTAGAAG